TGGGTGGGACTAAAAAGTTCAATCAATCAATTCCAACTTTGCAAGATCTTTTTTTTTTCATGAGAAGTTGAAATTGACTGATTGATTGAACTTTTTTTTTTTGCACACGGCGGCAGAGGCCTAAAGTGAAAAGGTTTTATAAAACCCAGCTGAAGGCCTAGGACTGGGGCGATGACGCGCGTGCCCACAGAGAGGGCTCTGAGTGCCGCCTCTGGCACCTGTGCCATAGGTTCGCCACCACTGCACTAGTCTAATCAAAGTATAGACATGGATGAATGTACAAAATCTTCTTTAAATTTTTAATTTCTAAATAATTACTTTATTAAAAGGTTTATATCTTGTGAAATTACTAGACATTTTCTGGAACAAGAATCACATTTGTCTATCTAACTGTTTACTGGTCTGCTTATTTTATAGAGACATTATTCACAAACTCATGAAGAAAATTTGTACTTTAAAGGTAAAGGAACAGTAATGGGTATTTGTGGTAGATCTCTTTTGGGGAGACCCAGTTTCAAGACTACCTTCAACCACAAAAAGCCACTGATTGACTTTGGGCCAGTTCTCTGTTAGCTAACCCAATTTAGCTCACAGGAGTTGTTATGGGGAAAAACAGAGAAGGAGAAAACACAAGAGCATATGAACCCTGGAGCTTCTGAACAAAAGGCAGGATATAACTTTAACAACACATAATAAATAAATAAAAATATTTTTAAGAAATTAAGTCAAGAAAATTTTTCCCTCCGTCTTCTCTAAATAAGTGCAATATTTTTCCCAAATTAGAACTTTTAAATTTAATAAAATGTAATTGAAGATGCTGTTTGATGAGATCTTCAAACTAAAGCTAATGTGGTCAATTGTTAAGGCACCAGACTAAAAACCAGGAGACTATGAGTTCTAGTCCTGCTTTGGGCATGAAAGCCAGCTGGGTGATTTTGAGTCAATCACCCTCTCTCAGCCAAACCCACAGCATTGTTATTGTAAAAGAGGTCACAATATTAGGTATGTTTGCTACCTAGAGTTATTTATAAAAGCAAAAATGGTTGTATAAAAATAAATAAAATGAAATAAATCTTTAGCTATAGATGGTAATTCCATAGGAGAAAATGTTTAAATTATCTATAGAATAATCATGGAATAATAGTGTAAAATTTATAAACAAAACTTCCAATTCCATTAAGTCAGTACTCTAATAATTTTGATGGCAGCAAAAACTTAGGTAAAGCTCAGGCTGCTGTGTATTTTAACTTTTTTATTATTTTAATTGCTTTTATTTTTTAAAGTTTGTTCATTGCCCAGAATCATTTGGTGAGATTGGTGGCTATACAAATTAAATAAGTAAATTAATAAATCTGTAAAATTCATCCATTTAAAATGACCTAATATACATAAACAGCATTTTATGTAATATAATATTGTTAAACAAATGCTTAAATATTTGTAAGCAAGTAATTATATAACAAACTTTAATACTTACATATTCAGTCTCCTGTTTAGATTCAGAAGAAAAATTCTGTGTGTCTGTGCTTTGTGAATCGTACTTGTAGCGTTGGGTATTTTTGGCATATTCTTTCTTTATGACATCTATTTTGGTCTGATGGACATGTGACTTGGAATCTAACATCCTGTTGGTGTTGGGAACAGACTGATTTTCTGTACTACTAATACTATGGTCTTCATCTGAATCACTGGAATTCCCTTTAAATAAAAACAAGTTAAACAAACTGTTAGCCAATGACAGTTTAATAAATAGCAACTTATGAACGGCTTTTGAATATTGAATATTAAGTTTATATTTTGCCATCATTAAACATCAGGTTAGTTTAATTTTGAGGAAGCATAACAAAGCAGAAATCTAAATATTGTGCATATATTTAGATTAAGGATTACATATATAAAATGATCTGCTACTAATCCCATCAAACAGAAAAACATCTACTTATTCTGTCCTGAATGCAATACATAGTTCAGTGTACAGGGTTTTTAAGATGGCAGCCTAAGAATCATATATGTAACAGGATCTGTTTAGAATATTTTGTTCCCATGACTAAAGAAACCTAGTAACTTTTTAACCTATAATTTCAACTTCATTATTGGGTTGCAAGGTTTGTGCATCTTTCATTTATATTTAAATGTTTGAAAAATGGCCTTTATACTCTACATTGATTTGTTTTCCTAGTCATACTTTTGAACCTTATGCAGCTAGAAAGCTGTCTTTAAATAATCTCTAACTCTCACCAAAAGAGGGCAGAATTGTACCAGGGTTGAATTGCTTCTAAATCTGGACCTAAATCAAGAATCTGTTGGGATGTTATCTTGATTTTTAAGGGATTGGAATGGTTACCTATTTATTATTTATAAGATTTATTGTAAGAGTATCTATTTTTGAGTTTGCCATGAAGTTTTTTCTCAAATGGATATAGACATACTGTAATTTGTAAAGGTAAGATTGAATTACTAAATAGTAATTACTAATTATTAGCATTTAAAAAAAATCTTAAAGCAGGGTCCCCAACCTCTGGTCTGCAGCCTAATATAGGTCCACAACCCACTGCAACCAGGCCACACAAGCAGTGGGCAAGCGCACGAAGCTCCATTTATGCATAAATGGGATTAGGTTGTGCACATGAAACCATCCCCTCTCCACCTCCACCTGACACCACTGCCAGTCTGTGGAACGGAAAAGGTTGGGGACCACTGTCTATTGAATTATTACTTCATATTTACTGCTATTTTGAAGGAACTGGTGATTCCTTTCAGGGCTGTGAATATTACTGTACTATAGTTCTAAAAACAAATATGTACTTGATTTTTCCTGACTTAAAAAAATGTCACTTTCATAAAGGAAGTGTTTCAAATATGTGGCAAACAGAAAGTTTCTATACAGTTAAGAGGTATGTGTAAACACTTAATTTCTCTCCAGCTACTATACCTGGTTACACTTCCTCTGTGTATTTTATTAAAGTTAGTATTTCCCAAGCTTATTGGATGTTTATATTTCACCTGGGGCAATAGCTCCAAGAAGGCACAATATTCAATGATTAACAGGAAATGTATTCACCTATAAAGCAGTGGACCCAGAAACATACCAACTTCATATTCAGCTATAAAAATAATATAAATGATACAGTACTGTAAAAAGTTCTAATCGGGGGGGGGGGGATGCTATTCATAGTGCAGAAAATAAAAGCCCACTCAGAAGAGGCCTATGGTATGTTGCCAAAAGATAAAGGAGTGGGGTCAAAACTAGGCATTTGCTATTAAGATCTCTGCCACTGCCAACAAAACAATAAGTAACAGTGGGGGAGAATACATTTCCAACAAATGATGAAGGAAGAAAAATTATTTGCTTTGTATAGATTACTTCTATGCTTCATCAACATTTAACCTTTTAGGCTTCACATGTAATTTTTAATAGCAATTGCTTTTTTATTATTAATTGCTTATCAGATAAGTATCTTTTAAAAACACATTTTTCAGGTCTGTAAATCCCTCCCTTACATGTGCATATATTTAATGCCCATTATTAAATTATGATTAAATTAATTTGTATCATCTCTCATGGAACTATTTCTTAAGGTACCAATGATAAAATCAGACCCATTCTTCATATTAAAAATATTTCCTTTTGCCTTTTTGAGGGAAAAATGACTTTAAATCATCCAGTAGTCCCTATAGAAAGACTATGTTATCTGGGCTGCAAATATCTGGACAGGCATAAGGTGGGGGTAAAGACTATCCAACTACTTCTCAGCCCTTCTCAGGGGTAAAGAACCTGAGTCTTCATTGTCCTGGGAAGTCTATCCCTATAGTAACCTAACTATACTAACTATTGACTAATTAATTTGTTTCTAAATTATTCTTAAATGGAAACAAAATAATTTCCAGATGGGTTTGTTTCTTGCATTGCTTAATCTTCGTGGATATATTTAGGGGCATCTTAAAGTACCTGAACACCACAAAAATTAGGACTGCCAAAAGCAAAATGAGCATCTGCTGCAGCAGATACATTCATAAAAAAACAACAATATTGCTTTGCTAAAAAAAGATACTCCCAAATCTTCTAGTGTATAATTGATTTGTGTTGTCAGGCATAACCCTTTAAAAAAGAACAAATTATATTCCAATATTCTTTCAGAAGTTCAGACCTCTCCCATTCATGGGATTGCATTTTGAGCAATTGGCAATTGGCCAGCATTTGCAGCTGTTTGCAGCATCCTGTGGTCATGGGATTGATGAGGAGAAAGTTGGGAATCAAAAATACGTAATTATCCAAATAGATTTTGAGTTACTCTGGGAAACAATTTAAAAGTTAACATAGTCAAATTCTGAGCTGAAAAGGTTTAACTAAAGATAGACATCAAGCAAGTACACAAAGTATTCAAACTGAATGTGAGGAGGAGGAGGAAAGGGAAGATAAATATGGGCAGTCATGCTTACATCAATTCCTTACAACTGTTTTCCTGTGGAATTTATTTATCTTAATATTTCTTCTCAACAATAAATTCCAACTTTGTGTTCTGGGAAAGTATGTATGTATGTATGCAGGTTAACCATGTGACCTATGAAATACTGCACTGCTTCTACAATGGAGAGAGGCAGTCTGAGATCTGTTCATTTTAAGTTTCTGTTTCCCATCTCTGAAATCAGATAAGCTAATTTTATTTTCTTGGTCAGTCTGCTGATTACAGAATACAGAGCAGCAACTCCCTCCCTTTCTCCTCCACTTTTTAGAAAATTAAAGAGATAAAGGGATATCATTTTGCAGAGCTAATTAATTTAGGAAGAATTGTTCTGAAACATTAAGGATGGATGTGTTTGTGTACATCTAACTTACACAGTATATTACACATGCACCATACAAACATATAACACTTTAATACAAAATGGCATAATTCCTGGTCTCATTGTAAAGGCTTTTTGAGCTGTCACTGTTACTTCACTTAACTAACTTTTAAATGAAACTGATACAAGAATGCACTTTTTATGCCCAATCAAGTTGTTTCCTGACATACAAAAATAGTTTACTTCAGATGGGAACACAGATGAAAAGATCAGGAGCAGAATGTATTGGCTAATTGCTATTAACCATTGCTATATATTGCTTAAATTTTCCTGATCAATCAGAGTGAAGTTGCATATGGCATTATATTCATACTTCTCCACCAAGAATGCCCGGGGAAATTTGCGTATAGTTATCATGGGAACCAGGCATCATCAGGACACATAGCTGGCTTGCTATATGGAATTGCCTTTGCACGTAGAACTAAGATATAGTCTCCTACGTGCAGACACGCGCTGAATCAGACGAAACCGATACTCATCTCTTAGTGAACTCACTTCGGTTTCGTCTTTTCTTAGCCTTCTTAACACAAAGCGTTTGTACTTTACAAAGTATCAACGGTTGTTTCGAATAGGGGCTAATTTAAGGAATATCACTATTAAAGAATATATTTTTTACCCTACAGTTTGGACTTCACGCACAGGCACGTACACCTTAACGAAGCAACAAATCCTATCAACCTTACCGTCCCGCCTCCAGCTACACGGTGCCGTGTATCGATTAGTCTTGGACTCGCACGTGAGGAGGGTAAACTCTCAGCTAATTACAGATCACTACTAGATGACCTTGGACAGTCTTCTCTTCCAGTCCAATCTTTAATCGCGGGTGGTCGCCAAGGGGAAAAATCGGAGGGAAAGTTGTATCTTTGCCTGGATCTTCTGGAAGATGCGAGACTAGCCGAACAAACCACCCACAGAGTGCTGGCGTTGCTTGTTTCGCACAAACCACCTCACCTGCCTTACGAGCTGCGCACGCGCAGTACGGTCTTCAAAGAAAGGCAAAGCTGTTGCCGCCGCCGGGATCCCAGACTAGGAAGTCATACGCGACCTACTCTGTTTTCTTACCTGGTTTGTGGGTCCCGCGAAAGAGGACGTCACGGATCCTGTTGCTGGCGGAGGAGCTGCTGCTGCCGCCCGCTGCGTCGCCGCTAACGTTGATGCAGAGACCCTTGCCATCGAGCAGCGCCTGCAGAGGTTTCGGCTCGTCGCTTCGGGGCCGGCAGCTGAGCCCGGAGCCGCAGCGCTCAGTATAGACGCCGCACGGCTGTCCTTCTTGCAAGGCGCACGTTAAGCAACACCCGCAACCCGGTTCGCGCACCAGCTCCAGGCACTCCGGCACCATGGGCTTACACTGCTTCAGAGCCCGCGTGTCGCACAGATCGCATCGCACCACCGGCACCACCGCCACCGCCAGCCGGCTCAGTAGCGCCGTCGCCACTGCTCACAGTAGCATGTAGAGCCCAGATATCATAGGAACAGCAACAGGGAGGGGAGACGAAAAGAGGATCAAGAGCGGCAGGCAGAGAGGAAAGAGGGTTAGCAAACAGCCTCTAGCAGTGGCCCAGACACCCCTCGTGCCCAGGGCAAGCACCAACAAAGAGACGCACAACTTCACCCGCTTTTACACACACACGCTTCTGTAGTTAAGGGCAGAGCACAAGCGCCCTCTTAAGCAAGCGCCTGGGGAAGGGGAGGACAAGAAGCGCAGCTCCTTGCAGCTTCTGCGGGAGCCCTTTTAGTTTAAAAAAGGCGGCAAGTTAGAGATCTGCACCTTCTAACTCCAAAGCCTGAGGGAGACCAACCTCTTTCGCAGGAACAAGCTAGAAGAGTCTCAGTCCCTCCAGTTATGAATTCCCCTATTTTGCCCTTCAATATCAATACAGTCATTTAGATATTTAGATATATACACTCTTGTTTCCAAAGCTAGTTCTTCCTTTTCAAAGTTACCCAAATTACTTCTTTTGGGATTCCCCCCCTAATTTGCCACACAATTTCTTAGCGTCCCTCCTCAAAACCGATAAAATAAGATGTCTTTGGGAGAGGGGGAGAAGAGATTAGAGAAGAAAGACAGGAGAGAAAAGATGATGCAAAATAATAGTAATTTAAAGAAGATAAACGTCCTCGTTGCTTGCATCTCGCTCTCTTAACTTTGCTCCCTCTGATCTCGCCTTGAGCCGCAGTTGGTGCCTATATAGACCCCCTCCTTAAGACACGCCCAATGAATGCCATTGGCAGCAAAATAGAAGGAAGGGAAGAGACTTTCGGTCAAGAAAAGTAAAGAAGGAGTGAGGATCAGCGAATAATGATAATTATACGGTTACTTTTTGGACATTTTGTTCAAAATTGTATAGCATGTGAGGAGGGCAGAAGAGACTCGCGATCCCACCGACCCACCCAGCCTTTCCATTTGCTTTTGTTCCAAGGAAAATGCCCTCCACTCCCTTGGCTCAAGAAGAGGAGCCAGGAACAATCCCAATGGGAATTTCTTTTTGAATTATTGTCTCCAGTGGAACTGACCAAAAGAACCGATTAAACCCAAGAGGGCAGCTTTTTAATGGCAGCCAGTGTTTAGGATATCATCTCATATGATATTTGCAGTTCCTTGAAAAACTGAAATATATATGAGATTTATACATGTTCCTGTCAGTCTGCCTTTCTTCTTGGCAACTACGAGAAACAATAAAGTATTATATCAATTAAGCCCCAATTTCTATCTTAAATTAAAAACACTGATTATGGTTATTCCACATGATATTCTTAATTTTAGGGAAAGACTTATCTTTATAAAAAAGATAATCATCTCTGTGCATAGATAATGATCTGGTTTGCTATCAGCAACATTATTTAATATTTGAAAAATCAATTATCACAAGCTGTTATTGAATGAATAAACTGTATAGTCTCATTCACAAACCAGATCAATTAGTTGTGTTCACTCTGCAGAATTAACAGTTTGAAGTAATTTTTATCAGTCATTTTAACTGAAGAAAAAAAATGAAAAAGATTTTGGTGTAGCATCTCTGCTGATCCTTTGTTTAAGTAAAAGCCTAATTTTTAAATGGCAGTTCTATACAGACCATTTTAGAAATCAGTTTTTCAGTGAATGACAGTAGTCTTCTAAAAATGTGTGTTTGAACTACCTTTCCATACCATTCTATGAAAGAAAAAGAAATCAAATTGGTTTATATTATTATTGCTTATGTTAGAAATTATCTTTTAAAGTATGATGAAGAAATAAAGAAATGAATTTCAGTTCTCCAGTATTATTCAGGAAATACTTTCTTTGTTTCTCTTATTCTGAAAATCTGCCAACAGAGGTCGCTAATTGCTTAGTCCAGAGCTGAGGGGACCAAATATGATTGAACTAATTTACAAAGATGCTATTGATCACTTCCTTCTTACTAGTATACTAATGCAAGAAATTGATCTAATTTTTTTAACTTCAAATAGTTTGGGTATCTTTTTTTTTTTCCAACAAAATTTTTTATTAGTTTTATTTAACATGGTGGCATAAAATCAAAAAAGGGAATATAAAATATGATTTCAGGAAGGAATTATACTGTGAAATATGGAAAATTGGTGCTAGATATATAACAACCACATTGTTTAATACTTAAGGCAACTCTAGCATAACAGACTATAAGAGCTATAATGCTTTATATGTTCAATGATATTTTTAGAACAATGTCCTTGGTTATTGTTAAATATACCTTTCTTATACTAATAAGAGACAGTTATACTGAAAAGAATAGGTGACTGAGAAAGCACATTAGTCATTATTGGTATGATCATATCTTGTTTAGAAGTTAGCAAAATTCATCGAACATAAAATAATAGAGTTGGAAGGACCTTGAAGGTCTTCTAGTCCAACCCCCTGCTTGAACAGGAGACCCTATACCTATACCAGTTGTTCCATTGATTGATTGCTCTCACCATTAGGAATTTTTTCCTTAGTTCTAGGTTGTTTCTCTCCTTTGTTAATTTCCATCCATTGTTTCTCGTCTTGCCTTTTGGTGCTTCGGGAAATAATTTAACCCCCTCGTCTTCGTAGGAAATATTGGAAGATCCCTATCATGTCTCTTCTAGTCCTTTTCATTAGAGTAGACATACCCAATTCCTGTTCTTCGTATGTTTTAGCCTCCAGTCTCCTAATCTTTTTGTTGCTCTTCTCTGCACTCTTTCCAGAGTCTCAACATTCTTTTTTATATCATGGTGACCAGAACTAGATGCAGTATTCCAAGTGTGGTCTTACTGAGACTTTGTAAAGTGGTACTTGAACTTCATATGTTTTTGATTCTATCCCTCTATTAATGCAGGATTTAATTTAGCTGAAGTGGCAAAGTATACATATCAGGTTTTCCTGTTGCAACTAATTAATCCTCTAGTACAGAGGTCCCCAATCTATTGGCCGCGGCCCACTATCGGGCCATGGCCTCTTGGCCGCCAGGCGCGTGAGTAGCTAGGCAGCGCACGTGCATATATGTGTGCTCATGCCACAGTTGCCGCGAGTGTTCTGCGGGCAGTGGCAGCGCTGCTAGTATTGTGCAGGTGGCAGTGTTGCCACAAACCTTGCATGGGGGTCAGCAGCACCGCAAGCGGCAGGTGGGCGGCGGTGCACCACACACAGATGGCAGCATTGCCATGAACCTTGTGCTGACAGCAGCAGCGCCGTAAGCGGCAGGTGGGCCACAGCACAATCCTCGCGCAGGGGTGGCAGCGCGAGCCTCATGCTGGGGTGGGATCACTGCAGGCTGTGGTGTGATCCTTGCATGGGGGCGGTGGCATGAGTTTTGTACCAGGGCACATTGCTGCGAACTATGGCACGATACTCACGTGGGGTGGGGGTGCAATCCTTGTGCTGGGGTGGCATCACTACGGGCCGCGGCGCAATCCTCGCACAAAGTAGCAGCATGAACCTCGCGCCAGGGTGGCATCATTACAGGCCACGACGCGATCCTCATGCAGGGATGGCAGCATGAGCCTCACACCAGGGGCTCAGCGTGAGCCTCAGCTGGTGGTAGCATTGCCATGAGCCTGGCAGCGGCAGTACCACAAGCCTCACACAGGCGCCGCTGTCACTGAGAGCCTCGCATGCATGCTTGCAGCCGTTTGTGTGCTGTGCATGTTTACGGCCTGTTTGTACACACACGCACATGTGTAACCACATTTATGTTTGTGCATGTGCGCATAAGGCTCCTGCCCTTCCCTCTTCCACCGGGCCGCCAATCCAAAAAGGTTGATGATCCCTGCTCTGGTAGTCAGCACAAATATTTTAATATATATATAGTAGATGCAAAATAACTGATTTTTTTTCCATGTATGCCTCCTGAAGTTATTTTTCATATTCTAGAAGCACATTCATAAAATGCAAGTGTTTACAGAAATTTTTATTTTATTTTATGAATTATTTTTTATTTTACTTTGTGTAGTGGCCTCACAAAATAGATTATACAGACATCTGGAATAGATATTTAATTTATTTAAATTTTTAGTGATTAAAATGGGAAGTGTATGTGTTTTTCAGATACAAGATATTTTGGGATTAGGAGTACATATGGAATTTTGAGATGTAATTGGCTGCCATGGAGAGGCTTTTGATTTTGAAGCATGGCATATAGAGCATTTATAAACAAATGTTTATCAATCTTTTTAGTACCCTAGAATGCTTTCTAACACTTCAGCTTATCTTTATCTTTTCTCTGGGTAAGTGGGTATACTTCCTCAAAAGGCTTGAAGACTATACAGCCATTCATTGTACAGGGATTAGGTACATGCAGTGGTGGGATTCAAATATGTGAACAACCAGTTCTCTGTGTGGATGCTGCTTCCGGAAGTCCATTCTGGGCCTGGGAAACAAAAAAATAGCTACTGGTTCTGCCGAAGTGGTGTGAACTGGCTGAATCCCACCACTGGGTACATGGTAGGATGATGGGCTGCTCAGGATTTAATGGATCCATAACAAGCATATTAAATGTTTAATATGGTCTAGCATTTTAAACAGCTTTCCTGTTCTGCAAAAGTTAAGAATTAGAAATGTTTGTAGCTGGAGTCTAAAGAATTCCAGTGGTTTTCAGAGAGCTCTGAAATTGCCACTATTGATTGGTATATTTTGAGCTAATGGTGGAGCAAATGGGCCACCCATTAGAAAAGAGGAAAAGGAAACTTATGCTGAATCCAACTGAATACAAATAACAGCTTCTCTGACAGTTTACTATGTGCTTCAAAATCAAAGGATATTTTCCTTTTTTCATCCATTGTATCTCCATAATTTCACCTAACAAAGCTGTTTTATGTGGTAAAATTTGAATTAGGTAGTGTTTCAGATTCATTTTTAAAAAAGTGAGCACTTTGGAGTTCATAGGAACACAAGCATAATCTCTATTTTTCCAGAACATGTCATAACCATGTAATTGTAGTAAAAAGGTACAGCTGTATTAAAGAGTGAGATGCTACATGTGCAATCTTCATAAT